AGGCGACACACTCGGCCGGATGAAACCCTTTTATAACAAGTCCTTCAGCTGCTCCTTTACTTCCTTCAATTCTGCCGGTTCCATTCTATAGGGCGGAATAGATATAGGATGCGTGTCTGGCATCACATCAATCCCAAAATCAATCTCCCTGTCTGGTGGGATCCCAGGGAGATCTTCCGTAAAGACTCCCGGAAATTCATTCACAACAGGCACGAACTCAAGTGTAGGTCCCTCAGCATCGGTGTCCGTAACTCGAACCAAATGGTAAATACACCCTTTGTTGATCATTTTCGTGGCCTTAAGGTAAGAAATAAACCTACCCTTTGGCATTACATCATCATCCTTCCACTCAATAACTGGCTCATTTGGAAATTCAAACCTAACAGCCCTGGTTCGGCAATCAAGCTTGGCAAAACAAGAATAAAGCCAGTCCATCCACATTATCACATCAAAATCAACCATTCCCGATTCAATGAGATCGGCCACGGTACCCCGACCACGCAATGTGACAACACAATACCTATAAACCCGCACGGTCAAAATAGACTCACCAACCGGAGTAGATACAGAGAACGGCTCATGAAGTTGTTTTGGTTCTATCCCAAATTCCATAGCAACATAATGTGTGACATATGACAAAGTGGAACCGGGATCAATAAGAGCATAAAGATCATGAGATTGGACAAACAATATACTTGTGACAACATCTAGAGAAGCCTCTGATTCCCGACGCATCCACATAGCATAAAATCTATTGCATCCTCCCGAATTATGTGCACCACCCCTAGCTACACCACGTCCTGCGGGTGCTGGGGTGCCTCGAGCTGGAGGTGCTGTGGATGTAGTAGCTGCAAATTTAGTTGGTTTTGCCGCCCTTTGCCCATATTTCGGCGGGACTAGCGGAAATCTCTCTGAATGTGACCCCTCACACCACACCCATAGCATACTGGTAGATCCATGAAGCAGGACCCAAAGTGCATCCTCCCACACTTAGGGCATGGAAGCCTTCGCTGCTGAAACCTTCTGTCGGACCGACCCTGCTGGTTGGGTCCCCTGTTGCCCTAACTGGGTACAGATGACTATGCACCCATCGAAGACTGCGCGAATGATTGGGATGGTCCTGATGACCTTCCCCTGAATGCCGACCTACCACCACCACCACCGAAAGAATCACCAAAGTTGCCCGCGGACTGGGCCTTGCTGCTACTCTAACGCTCCATTTTATTCTTTAATTTGCGGGTCTCTGTGGCTTGAGAAAATGCCACCATCTTACCATAGTTCATATCAAAATTTAAGGCAGCTGTAGCGGCCTCATTAATAACCAAGGGGCTAAGGCCCTGAACAAACCAGCGCACTCTAGCCTCCATAGTGGGCAACATATGAATAGCATACTTAGATAGGCGCGCAAACTCCATATGGTACTCCCACACATTCATAGTATCCATAAAGGCATCTGTGAACTCACCCCACCTTGCTGTAGGGCTTCCCTCCTAACGGGATTCCTCCCACAACTCAAACCAAGAATAGGCCACCCCTATCAGGCGGTAGAAGGCCAACTCTACTCCCTCTGTCTCTGTAGCATGCATAACCCGAAGAGTTTTGTGCATCTCATCAATGAAGTCCTGGGGGTCTTCCTCAGGATCAGTACCCATAAACACTGGGGTATCTAACTGAAGAAACTTGTTCACCCTGGAACTAACAGATTCCCCTAGATGACTAGAAGAAGTAGGCCCAACACTCGATCTCTGGGCCTGAGAAGCCACTATCTGTGTCAACATCTGTATGGCTCCCCTAATATCAACATCAGACACACCCGAATTGAAAGCTGGAGCTGGAGGTGGAACTGGAATATCAGTTGGAGGAACTGTTACACCTTCTGTAGGTGCAGGGATAGTTGCGGTCTGATCAGTTGTGGTAGAATCAAGTAGTGTGGTAACTGGGGGAATATCCTCACCCCTCGGGTGCTCACACGCATCATCAAATATAGGATAAACTACCACTCCTAGGGTGACATTGGCTCTTTGGCAAGTTTTTGCCTTCTTCTTAATTGCCATGTACTAAAACATTAGAGCAACTCAAGAGTTAAAGGAGGAACAATCTTACAACCAGCTTTATCGCACGATCAAGAACATGAAAGAATGGTATTATTTCTAAATGCCCATGTAGCAGCCTAATTATAGATGTGGTCGACAACACACCGATAATAAGGACTCTACTAGACACGGCTCTAAGATATCCTAGGACACTTTAAAAACTTAGGCTCTAATACCAAATTTGTCACGCCCCAAAACCGAGGAACGGGACCGGCGCTCAACCGAGTGAACCCGATCGAGCAAGCCTATTAGATTTCCTTCTACCCAAACTCATCCATGAATGAAGATAATACATATTTTCATTAATTAGACAAAAGGTGTTCATGTCTAAAATGCCAATTCAGTTTTCATCATTTTTAAAGTCTCAAATGCGACAAGTAATACAACCACAACATAACATAGTTTGTCTTTCCCAGCACCAATACACAACCCACACTATGTCTACGGAGCCTCTATAGATAAAGAAGAGTATAATGATAATGCAGGCAATAAGGCCCCGGCTATACCTCAAACAGAATACACAAAGAACAAAGATACATGACCCTGGGATGAAGTGGGGCTCACCAAGTCAGCTAGGAAGAAGGTGTACTTCTATCACTGATCAATATCTCCTGTTGTGGAACCACCTGCATCCATTTAAAGATGCAGCGCCCCCGGAAAAGGGACGTTAGTACCATCGAATAGTACTAGTATGAAAACCAAACACCAATTTAAGAATTTAGAAATACAATATGAATATGATGAATCAGGGTGACAATAGAATAATATAGATAACCGTTTAAACCAGAGAAAGCTTATTAAGAGTTATCAATAACATTTATAGGATTTAAGATGAGATCCTCTATAACCATCTTTACACAAAGTGGCCCCGCCACCTCACCCGATGTATGCAGGTAGAGGTGTAAGTACAATATCACAACTCTACTCAAGCGGCCCGGCCGCCTCACTCCAATGTGTACGGGTAGATGTATAACCATAGTACCAAGAACCTATACAAAGCGGCTATGCCGCCTTATCCCAATGTGTGCGGGTGGATGTATAACCACAGTACCAAGAACCTACACAAAGCGGCTATGCCGCCTCACCCCAATGTATGCGGATGGAAATGCATCAACGATACCAATAACTATACAAAGCGGCTATGCCGCCTAACCCCAATATATATATATATATATATATGGGTGGTGGTGTAAAAATAATACCAAAACTATACACAAAGCGGTCGTACCGCCTCACCCCAATGTATGCGGGGGAGGTGTACTCCCACAATACCATAATTCTTACACAAAGCGGTCATGCCGCCTCACCCCAAAATATACGGGTGGAGGTGTGTCATAATCATAATCTCTACACAACTTTGCATAATAACTTTCACATAAATCACGACTTGAAATTATAACATGTGCATACACAATCCATATTTTTGGAACACATCCTCAATTAATAATGTAATATGATAAGAGCATTTGAAAAACGAATTGAACATATATCTTTATCACAAAACTTATCGGAATACTCGATTTGTCATCAATATCTTGGAACTTACAAAGATAATGGGGATTCCAATTCTTAAAGAATAGTTTAGCCAACATACCTCAATTGAGCTTCCTTAAACTCTAAAATGTTCCGGAATTCTTAACAACTTTAATATATTTTAGAAATATAACATATTGAACCAAAATTAGGAAGATGATCATGGTTCAAGATCATTTGAGCATTTTATCAAACACTACGTGTGCATAAGGTTTCAAGGTCCTTTTATGGAGGATTCCATTATCCCACAATCCAATCATTACCATTTTTAGCTCAACAATCTTCCTACACCCTTTGATAATACATGAATGTAAATTAAACAACTCTCATGCCCAAAAATTATCTTGCTAATTACCCATTTCTAGACAAATTCAATATTGAGGGTTAGGGTGTAGAATCCTACCTCTAGGATGAAGACCTGGTGAGTTTCCCTTCTTTATCTTCCAAAACTTGAGCAAGAATTGAAGAACAATTATTGAAAAACGCCTTCTCACTCTAGGCACTCTCTCTCACTCTAAAATATCAGATTATAGCTCAAAAATAGCCCAAAGAGTGTATTTAATGAAGTAGGGTCGGGTTTTAAAAAACCCAAAAATAGAGCTCCAGAATAAGGTTTGCGATCGCATAATCGATATGCGGACCGCATATCGGTCGCATAATCGGTGTCCAAAACCGGCAAAGACTTGCTTGTGTCTGCGGTCGCATAATGGACCGCAGAAACGTGTTCTTCTTCCAAAATTTTCCTTTACTTTCCGATGCAAAGCCTAGTCCGGCACCATGAAACATTATTTTTCTTTTGCAAAATTTTACGGGGCCTTACATATGGACCTACAACTACATTAGCTAACTATTCTGGATATTTTACCTCCCATATTGAACCAAAGTCGAGTAGTCGAGTTACCTCTTCTTTAACAAAATGTTTTCTGACCTTGGCTATTGGGCATTTCTTTTGCCTTACCGTTGGGAAGTTCGGATCCAGGCTTAGCTTGTGCACGGCCACCTCTAATGGGATACCTGTCATATCCGAGTGCGAGCATGCAAAACAATCGACGTTAGCTTAAAGGAAAAAATGAATCCTGACTTGAGTTCGGGATTGAGTCATGTTCCCAAGTGAAACTTCATTTCCAAGAATTCTTCGGATAAAACCACTTGCTCGAGTTCTTCTACAGTGAACTTGGTTGCATCTATCTCCTCTGGTACCTAAAAGTATCTCGGCACCTGGTGGGATTTCGATGACTCCTCGCCTTTATCATCTCCATTAGGCAAAAGAGAAGGCATCAGTTCATGTAATTGCTATTTGCTGGGCTCCTTCCCTTTGTTGCTGGAAATCGACACGGCGTTCATCTCTCTCGTTGCCGGTTGATCTCCTCTTATCTACTTGATTCCTTCCGGGGTTGGGAATTTCAATAGTTGATGATATATTGAGGGCACATCCTTCATCTCATGTATCCACGGCCTTCCGAGGATTATGTTATGACCCATGTCGCCGTCTACCACTTCAAATAAGGTGGTATTGGTTACCCCTTCCGTATTCGTGGGCAACAGGATCTCACCTCGGGTTGCCATATTTGCCAAGTTGAACCCAGCGAGGAGCTTTGTTGCCAAAATGATACTTCCAGTTAACTTTGCTTGTTCCAGCATTCTCCATTGAATGATGTTGGTTGAGCTTCCTAGGTCAACCAAAACACGTTTAATCTTGAAATCTAAGACATTGAGAGAAATTACCAGGGTGTCATTATGTGGCAGAAGGAGTCCATCGGTGTCTCCCTCCGTGATGGTGATGTCATCTTCTATGACTTCCCAGAGTCTCTTGTTGTGGGTCACTGATATCTTTGTTTTCTTTGCCGCCGAGAAGGTTATGCCATTAATTTCATTCCCTCCAAAAATCATGTTAATAGCCAACCGAGGGGAGTCTTCTGCTATCTTCGAAGGCTCCGCATTGTCCCGACTACGGTGGTAATTGTTCTTGGCTCGGTTGCTCAAGAACTCCCTGAGATGGTCATTATTCAACAACGTCGCCACCTCTTCACGTAGATACCGGCAGTCCCCAGTTCTATGGTCATGAGTCCCATGATATTCGCACCATAAGTTAGAATCCCTCTGGCTGGGATCAGATCTGATTGGTTTCGGGAATTGTACTTCTTTGATATTCCTCACCGTTGATACCAACTCCACTGTGCTGATATTGAACTTGTAATCTGGTAACCTGGGATATGTGGAATCTCGGGCCCCCGAAACCTCTTTTTCTTGTAATGACATGTTGTTCCGACCACAGTCGGTTCTTCTATCAGGAACGAACCTATACGAGGACCATAACCCTTTGTTGTCGCGTCCTTTGGTTCTTTCGTATGGTAGGAAATGACCTTTAGAAGATCGTCGATCCACATCAAAATCGCCTTTGAACTCATCCTAGTTCTTGTCTCGGTTCCGTCCCTCAGTTGATGTCGGGAACCTGAGCTGATCGTCTTCTATCCTTAATTTCGACTCATAACGATTATGGACATCCGACCATGTGGTCACCTAGAATTCGAGCAGGCTTTCCTTAAGCTTTTGGGAGGCGTCGGAACTCCTTGGGTTCAAACCCTTTATGAACGCCTACGCTGCCCACTTGTCTGGTACAACCGGTAGCAACATCCTCTCTTTTTGGAACCTAATCACGAACTCTCGCAGCTATTCGAACTCATCTTGCGTGATCCTAAATATGTCTGCCTTCCTGGATTGGACCTTTCTGGCCCCGACATAGGCCTTAATGAATGAATCTGCAAGTATTGCGAAAGAGTGAATTGAATGCTTGGGTAAGAGTGAATACCAGGTCAGGGCCCCTTTTGTGAGGTTTTCACCAAATTTCTTCAGCAGGACCGATTGATATCATGTTGAGCCAAATCGTTCCCTTTCACGGTCGTGGTATAAGTTGTGATGTGCTCCTGTAGATCCAAAGTCCCATCGTATTTTGGTATGCCCGGCATCTTGATCCTCTTCGGAATTAACTCTAGCGCTGCGCTCGGCTTAAATGGCAATTTCATGTATTTCTTCGAATTTGGGCCTTTCAAAACTGGTGGTGCGCCCGAAATCTGATCCATTCGGGCGTGAAACTCCTTCGCGCTTTGGTCCATCTGTTCATTCATTTCCCTCATGAATCTCATGAGCTCAATTTTGAAGGAGTCATTCCCGTTATTGTTACCAGATCTACTACTGATCCCCCCTGGCACCATCGAAATCAACCTCACCCCTTGGGGTGTTGTTATCAACTCTTTGAGCCATTTGATTTGCAGGAACGTTGGGTAGGAACCGAGACCCTTCCGTTTGCGTTGTTAGAAGCGCCTGACCATGCCTATTTCAACTCCGTCATTACCCTATCCTGTCTTGAGGGGTGGCTCATTATGGCTTTCTGCTGCTCCCTAAAGATTTTTACTTCTACACGACATGTTCCTCCCTCACGTCCTCGTGAGTTGTCTCCCACACATGTTGGGGGTACTACCCTGCACGAACCGGGGTTGCCTCTTCCCTTCATTACGGGTGTCGCTGATTGAATCTTCATGTTGAGGCAAATTTTTGTGTCCCTCAACGTTGTGCGTGAAGTTGACATCATAAGCTGCCATTTTCGATTTCTTGCTAAGGAAAAAATCAAACAAGTTAGTAATAAACGAAGGGATCAAAGCAATTACACAATTGTCTAAGCCCCACGGTGGGCGCCAAACTGTTTGCCCATAAAACGGTACAGGTAACTTTACTACGTGGTTTATAGACAAGCGAATTAATTTGACCCAAAAATTATAATGAAATGAGATTAAAAATAAAACTTAGCAATTGAAATTGAAGAAGGTGACAAGCATGATTCTGATAGCAGTGTCTCCGAGGAGAAAAATAAGATCAATGTATAAGAGCAAATAAATTTGTTTAATTGAGAGTGAAAATGAGATACAACATATGTTTTACCAAGAATTTCCAGTCGTACAATGGTTGTTGAGCGTGCTATTTATAGTTATACCTAGGGAAACAAGATCTTAGGATCAAGCCCTACTTAAATGATAATAAAGGAGTTATTGATAAATATGTAACGACAGGCTATGAATGCAAATATTCTCTGCAATAGCTATCCATTTAATGTTAGAGAATATTCTTCATTGAATGCTATCCGATGAAAAATATTCTATTTGCTCCCGTTGACCATGCTCCCTTTAGGGTTTATCCGATGTCAATTGCAGTTGTTGTTCCCGACACTGGTTGTTACTTGATTCGCCTTTTACCCGTCTTCGGTTCCACGTGTCATGTTATCATTCGACTAAGTATTATAAACCAATTTTACCCTATACACCAACAAGTACAAAAACATTATCCAAACTTATCCAAAGGCTCAAAACACCCACGAGAACATCACAACAAAGAATCGAGGCTCAAATCGAATAGAATTTCTCTTAAGTTGTTTATTCCCTCAATGAGTGTCTGAATCATATTTACACACTTCGAATTACTTCCAAACTTTGCACACAATTTCAATTCAACTATATAGACCTATCTAAAGTCTCGAAACACCAATTGGAATCCAATAACATCAAAGTCAAGTCTTGGTCAAACTTATGAAATCTTATGTTCAATTGCCAACTTTCGACAAATAGTATCGAATTCTTCTAGGAACCTCCAAAATAAAATCCGAACATACGTACAAGTCCAAAATCATCAGACGGACCTATTGGAATAATCAAAACCCGATTTTGAGTTCGTTTACCCATAAGTCAAACCTTGGTCAACTCTTCCAACTTAAATCTTCCAAATCGAGAGTCATTCCAGTTGGTGTAGAGTTGACTTGCGTATATGGTCGTGTAAATCACTACCCTAAGGCACCAATCATCATCTCCTATTATGGATAAAGAAGCTTAAGTAACATGAAAATAACAGGTATAGATGTGTGTTCATGATATAAATATTACTACGGTCAAGTTCAATATGTCAACAATCTCAAAAATAGCTTATTAAATCCCTTTAAGATATCATATGTTTTAACACGGTCTCCGGCATGGATAATTAAACTTATTTATTCATGAAAGTAAATTAAGCAAAAGTCAAAAAGATCATAAAGTTCTACGAGGAACAAAAAAGCATATAATCTACCTCGAGCAGGGATAACCCTGCCATATGCATATACGCTCGTCACCTTACATATGCATCACTCCCGCACATAGCAAACAATATCATTTAATAGGAAAAATTTTCTCAACAAAGCTAGTCAAGGCACTTACCTCAAACAAGCCAAATTATTACTCTAAAAAGGCCTTCCCACGCGAATTGACCTCCGAACAGCTCGAATCTAGCCAAAAATAACTCAATACCATCAAAAAATGCCAGAGGTATCTAGCCCAAGCGATAAAGGTCGAATCTTTAATCAAATACTCAAAGTCAACCAAAAAGTCAACTCGAGCCTGCACCCTAAAACCCGACAAAACTCAAAATTCCAAACACCGATTCCAATACGAGTCCAAATATACAAGTTTCATCCAAATCTGACTCCGAATTGAGGTTCAAATCTCTATTTTTCATATTAGAAAAGTTTTGCCAAAATACCCAAATTCTCTATTAGATTCACCAATCAAATGCTAAAGTCAAGGATAAAATCCTAAATAATAGTCAAATCCGAGTCAAAAACACTTAATCAATCCAAGTGGGTGAAAATTTCCTTAAGTATCGCCACAATCCGAGCTCCCAATCTCTAAATGTGATTAAATGAGCTCAAATCTCAAAATAACCTCTAAGTATGAGTTGCAAGTCTCGCATTTGCGACTAGAAGCTCGCATTTGCGAACCCAGCCTACCCAAGCCTAAGTCGTAATTGTGACATATAACTTTGCAAATGCAAAGTCCACCTCTACCCAAAAGCATCCTCTCGCATTTGCGACCTCCGCCTTGCAAATGCGAACCCATCCGTCGAAGCCCACTGTCGTAAAAACGACACCTAAAACATCATAATTGTGATTTCCTACTGCTTGCAAATGCGGTCAGACACTCGCAAATACGAGGACCGCCCCTCACGCCCAACTTCCCAAATGTGAGAGTAACTTTGCGAATGTGGTAGTCGCATTTGCGACCAATACCTCGCAAATGCAAGAACAACGGTACTAGCAATCTTAGCCTAGCCAAAAGTATCCGGAACCAATCTGGAACTCACCCGAGCCCCTTGGGACCCTGTCCGAACATACCAACAAGTCACAAAACATAACACAGACCTACTCGAGGCCTCAAATCATACAAAATATCATCAAAATCACGAGTCTCACCTCAATTCAAACTTAATGAACTAATCAAAATTTTCAAATTCCAAACTTACGCCGAACACGTTTAAACAACTCAGAATGACCTCAAATTTTACATACAAGTCATATATCAGCATACAAACCTATTTAAAGGATCGTAATCCCAAGAAAACTAAAGCTGACCATATGCACAAGTCATAATATATCATATGAAGCTACTCAAAGTGTCAAACCACCAAATGGAATGCTAATGCTCAAAACGACTGATCGGGTCGTTATAATATATATGCTAGTAATAGGTCAAATAGGAAACATAGAGATAAACCACATAGGGAACATAGGCATGAAAGTAACATACAAGATGAAAACATAGATGGAAACCAAGATAGAGTGCATGTATGTGTCTAACAAACATGTAACCATAACAAAAATCCAACTCTCATTCTCTTTTCACGGAAACGACCATCGGGGCAATCTCATTTCAAATCGCATGAAAATACCTATCGTGCCAATCATTACCCTAATGCACCAATCATCATCGCTTCTTATGGATAAAAAAGCTCAAGTAACATGAAAATAACAAGTATAGATGTGTGTTCATGATATAAATATTACTACGGTCCAGTTCAATATGTCAACAATCTCAAAATATAGCTTATTAAAACCCTTTAAGATATCATATGTTTTAACACGATCTCCAGCATGGATAATTAAACTTATTTAGTCATGAAAGAAAATTAAGCATAAGTCAAAAAGATCACAAAGTTCTACAAGAGACAAAGAAGCATATAAAATACCCCGAGCAGGGATAACCCTGGCATATGCATATATGTTCGTCACCTCGCATATGCAGCACCCCCGCATGTAACAAACAATATCATTTATTAGGAAAAATTTTCTCAACAAAGCTAATCAAGACACTTACCTCAAACAAGCTAAATTATTACTCTAACAATGCCTTCCCATGCAAATTGACCTCCGAAAGGCTCGAGTCTAGCCAAAATTAAATCAAAAA